CTTTCTTGACTGTTCTCAGACATTCACCTGCTATAGTTCATCAGATTCATGTGCCCTCAGAGACTTAATTTTCTTATTTACCTTATTAAAGCCTCATCTTGGGCCATTCAAATATTAATGTGTGTCCTGATAATGTTCTGTAACACAGTCTAGTTTTGTTTGTATTATAAATTTTGTGTGGCTTGTATTCATTTTAGCAGGCCAAGTAAAACATCTTTTATCTGGTTTTCAGCTGCATTATGATCTGCCTCTTCCTTCTCACCATGTACTTTCTGTGCAGTCAATGTAGTTTCACAATGAACAACACTGGATTTTTCTTTATCGAAGCTGTGAACTATCTGTCAGTTGATACAATATTCTGTCTTAGCATTTAGCAAACTAGTGAAGTAAGCTATAAAAATAGAAATACCATTTAGTTTTATAATGGGAAATCATTCTACGTAGGTCAGTCAATGTTTATTGCATTACTGCATAAATATGTTCCGTCTAAGACTATTTGGAGGACACTATGTGGCAACACTTCAGACATGTACCTTTATCGCGTGACATAGCGGCTTTCCCAAGGCAAGTTCAGTTTTTCTAATAATCAGTCGCAAACATGTCTTGACACCTGCAGTTAGCATCCAAATTGGAAATGCATACAGCGATTTGTGTTTTGTGGACAAAAAGGTGCGACTGCACTGAAATTTATGGGCAGTTGCATGAAATGTATGCTGAAAATGCAATGTCACATCAAGCTATCGCGAAATGGTGCAACATGTTTGAGAATGGATGTACAGATATTGACAATGCTGAGCACAAGGGAAGACCATCAACTGCAACAAATTCGGAAACCGTGAATGAATGCATTCTTGCAAACAGATGTGTAACGATAGACGAAATCTCAAATGAATTGGATATTTCTCATGGAAGTGTGCATAAAATTATTGCCGATCACCTTCAATTTTGTAAAGTTTGCGCTCGATGAGTGCCACATCTATTGACGGAGGAACATAAAGGTAAGCGTTTTGAAAGTGCATTTGCATTTCCGCAACATTACCAAATGGAAGGAAATTAATTTTGGGACAAAATTGTGACTGGATATGAAACTTGGATTTACTATTTTTTACCTGAAACGAAGCACAGCTTGCTCGAGTGGAAACATTACAGTTCCCTGACACGAACATAGTGTTGAACTGTTCTGTCTGCAGGAAAGGTGATGATGACGCTGTTTTTCGACAGAGAAGGTGTGGTCCATACAGAGTTCATGCCGAAGGTCCACAACTAATATTCGTATTGTGAAATACTAAAGCGATTGCGGAAATCACTTAAAATTTGACGGCCATGTAAACTGTCGAAAGGCATTGTGCTCCTGCATGACAATACAAGACTGCATGCAGCAAAATAAACGTGCGAAATTTTGAAAAAGTTTAGGTGGGAAGTATGGAATCACCCTCCTCATAGCCCAGACCTTTCACCTCCTGACTTCCATATGTTTGGTCCCATGGAGCAAGAATTTTCAAAGCGACTGTACCATTCGAATGCCAAAGCTGCTGCCCAACAATGGTTATCGGACATTGGATGGGATTTGTTTGCAGAAAGCATCAAAAAACTTGTACCACGCCTCGACAAATGCTTAAATAACAGAGGTAATAACGTTGAAAAGTTGATTTTGAATGGAACTTTAAGATATAAATAAAGTTATTGTAAAATTTTGCTCCTGTTTTGTTTTCTTAGGCAGTAGAGCTTACTTAGGAACTTACTTAAACTTATTTACTTCTTAGGCAGTATGACCCTCGTAGAAATGCAGTTTCCACATCACTTGATTTTCTGTCTTGTTTTGCACTTCCTTTTGAGACATTAGCATTTTATTAGTTCTTCATTAATTATAATTCCTTGCTTAATTAAATTGCATAATGCTATTTCGGAAACTTTCAGTTTAAATGTAGTTTTACCTTGGCTTAACAAAAACATCTAACTATTTTAATAAATTATCTGTTAGGCTTAAGTATTTTCACTTGGCATTTTGGGCATGTTATGAGTTAAGCATGCAATAAATTAATTAAAAAAAAATAGTTATACCAATGATTCAGTCAAATTTCAAAACTGAGTTTCTAGACAGCTAAGATTACTCTTTCTGATTTTAATTTATCTGCTAATTCATGATTACAAACTTGACCAATACTTTCTTTGGTTTTTCTTAAGCCTACAGTTATCAATTGCTTTTCATTCAAAAAGTGTTAATGTATGTGGGGTTGCAACATTACCTGATAAATGGAAAAAATTGGGGAATTCAAAAATTGACTAAAAAAAGTGTGGGAATTTCATACGATGATCCCAAGAAAAAACAATTTTTATGCCATCTTTGGGAGCGATCACTTTCTTGGCGAATTTATGTATTATCGTGTGAGCATCATTTGGGCAGCTAGTGTTGAGACAGTTTTCACAGCTTCAATCACATTGTCTTTTAGAAAGGCAAAGCAAGTTTCCAGCAACTTTGGTTTCCAGTAACCTTGAGAATCAAGAGATTCAAATGTGCATGTGCAGTGCATGTTGAATGAAAGAAAGTACCTTCCCATTCTAGTATAAAACAAAATCAGTTTAATTTTAGTATACAGTATACATGGGATTTGGCGGCATCACGATGAGCAATAAACCGGACGTTTACAATAAGCAGTAAACATGTCATTTTGATGTTGGCGACAATTTTCAAAATCGTATGAAGGCCAAACCGTATACTACGCTTTAAACACAAAATCTTTTAAACCTTTTTAATAAATGCCTTATTTGTCATTTTGCAATAAAATAAAAAAGTAGTGATCAGTCATCTGGCTAACCATTTAATATAATTATATTTGCCAAAGTATCATTGATTATAATAATTCAGTTTTTAATCTTTAAGTAATTAACTTTATTTTAATGTCATTTGTCTCATTTTATGTACCTTCTTCCTTCTAAATTTATTTATTATTAGTTAATAATGCTTTCAAATTTCAGGGAATTTTCTCTGGCATACTTGTGAAACTAATTCTAACAGTGATGATGACATACCACCACAAATTTTAATGCACATATTTTTTACTTACACTGATTATCATAAATTAAGGAAAAATCCCCAAAATCACGATTACTGAAAAAGTTACATGTAGAATTTATTGAAACTTATCCACAATATACAACACATAGTAAGGTATCAAATAACATAAAAAAATTACCAGTCAAATATGGTAGTATAGAAATTAGAACATGTATAAAATGAACAAATCGAAGGTGTCAGTTTGCTATAGAAAAAGTACCTTCAATATGGAATATGATCGCCTCTAGAAGCAATACAGTGATGTGTGATGCTTTCAATTATGCGGTCTATCAGTTCCATAGGAAGCAAGAGCCATTGGTCTTGCAAAGCAGTTGCAAGCACGACAAGGGCTTGAGGGGGCAGATTGAGAGTAGCTAGACGTCTTCCTGAAACATCCCAAACATGCTTGATAGTATTCAAGTCCGGGGGTCGAGCTGGCCACTCCATGCACATAATTGTTTCCTGTTGAAGATAATCATCTACGATGCGAGCCCTGTGTGGTCTTGCGTGTCTTCCTGTAACAGGAAAGCATCATCTATTGCCCCAGCATATGGGTGCATATAAACATCAAGGATTTCATTGCTATAAATCTGAGCATTCACGGTTCCCCTTGGAAAGACATGGAGGTCTGTGCATCCACCCAAAGAGATGCCACCCCAAATACAGACGCTGCCCCTTCTGTATGCATCTCTTTCGCGAATGTTTGACGGATGATAACGGGTTCTAGGTTCCCTCCATATCAAATAACGCCTTCTATTGCTTTCTAGACTAAACCTGGGCTCATCCGTAAAAAGAACCGCCCTCCATTGACCAGGCGTCCAGTGGACATGTCGTGCCTACTGAAAACGGTCCCTCCTATGGCGCAACGTGAGCGGCACACAAATGGCTGGTCGCCTCGCATACAGACCACCTTCGTGAAGCCTTCTACGCACAGTTGACGTTGACACGAACCTTCCGGTGGCTGCAGCAAGGGAGGATCTAAGAAGAGTCGGAAGAGTTCTATTCCTGTGGGCACGTAATGTCAAATATCGGTCATCGGCACTCCTCGTCGCAGTTGGCCGTCCTTGGCTGAACCTCCTAGATGCCGAGTCTGTGGTTTGAAATTGCCTCCAAAGTCTATGAACCACAGAAGGAGTACCATTTAGCAATTTGGCCACTTCTGTTTGACTTTGTCCTGCCTCTAGTCTCCCAATGGCTCTCCATCGCAGTTCTGCAGGCAAATGATGCCTGGAGGTCATTGTTATGAATTGGCTATCTCGAATTTCTGATGTCACTGCCACAGTGAAATATGTGTGGGCTTGCTCTCAAACATGGACTTTTATGTTCCTCACAGATGACGTATTTCAAAAGCAGCGCCACTAATTTGCATATCGCAGTTTACTCAGCTACTCTTAGATGGCAACATATTCAAATTTTACACGGTTTGGCTTATTTTTGAGGGAGTTATCGCTATTTTTGTTATTTTTCCTTAATTTATGATAACCAGTGTATGTATGCTGCTATTTATTAAAAAATATTGTTAAATAAATTTCTTTCTTCTCATGTTTAAGGCTTACAAAATACAATGCTTTTTATGTGTGAAATGATTCCTTTTCCCAAGAAAATCTTATATAATTTAAATGTAGGGATTTGATATTAAAGCTGGTAACAAATAAGATGATAGTTTGTATAATATTAGAATGGAAATTTTTTCCATTAATTCGGCTTTTCTAATGTAAACTCCATTTTTTTATGTGCTCAGTTATCCAGAATTTGGCATTTCCTGAGCTTTTAGGATAGTCGAGCTTTTATTGTATTTTAATTTTTGTAGAGAAGAGGTATATGATAAAAACAAGTCTTTAGAGATAATAATATCTTTCTCCTATTTGATGTTTTTGTTATCTCTAATGCTTAAAAAAATGTTTATAGTATTTAGAAACAATAATTTAAACATTTGTATTTGCAGGCTTTCTTTGAAATGCCTTATGTTGTTCATCTACATAATCACACACCACTCTCTAGTCCTCAGCCATTGTTTACATTTATCCATCCAAACAGAGGTATGTATATGTTATTTTAGAAAAAGCTTATATATACACAATGATAAATATGATTATAATTTTGTCTTTTAATTTCCTAGTTGAAGTCCCAGATAATACTAGATATGGCAAATTAACTTTTGGAATTCCATATAACTGTGCTGTCCACGGATTTGCTGGATATTTTGATACTGTGCTGTATAAGGACATAAAATTAAGTATGTTTTATTGACTATTCTATGCATTACTGTTAAGATAAGATCTTTGGGAATATTATTTCCAGTTCAAATAATAGTATGGGGGAAAAAAAGAATATCGGTAAAAAGGTCATTTTTAATTAATGATTGAGATACGACGATGCATAGTTGCTAACTGTCCTGATTTTACTGGGAAACTCCTGGGTTTTCATTAAATCTTTCAGTCTCCTAGATTTCAATATTTAGCTATTACTAGAGGAAAACTACCAAGAAAATTATTTCCCATTAATAAATGAAATTTATTGAATCAATGAAACTTTAAACTGTCCTAAATACATTCCCCACCACTAGTGATTTTCAGCAGAGTTTTTCATATTGAATTTAGTTGATCTGATGTTTCATTAGTTAATATTTGTATTTAATTTTGTTTTATATTGTTTTTCATATTTATCCACTGCTGCTACTAAAAATACTAAAAAGATAAGCAACAAGTGCTAAAAGGAAAAGTACAAATGTTAAAAGGAGAATTAAAATAGACAATTTACATATGAGGCAGAGATTGCATCCCTAAATGAAAATAAGCAACCAAAATGAGTATAAAATGCAATCTTGCAGTCACACCACAATGCCTTAAAAAGGGGCATGATGGACCCATGGAGCAGTATACAAGCAGTGATAGTTTCCGTGTAATCTGACATCGGAGTATTACCACAGTAGCAGATGATTGCTTCCCCTTGCTGTGTGCAAGACGCCATAGATCACTAACAGCATGACAGCTGGTGTTGCCTTTCTTTGCTGCTGCAGGACAGCCATTATCAAGCCAAACTGTGTAGCGTCAACTGCACGAAGGTGGACTGTGCACCCGACGTACTGTGGTTTGTGTTGCTTTGTCCCCATCGCATATCAGAGCATGTTTGAATTGGGCCCAGAACATTGCATTTGGATTGCAGAGTAGTGGGGTCATGTACTGTTTATGGATGAATCTCTATTTAACATCCAAAATGATTCTCGAAGGGCAGTGACATGGTGAGAGCCAGGGACACACTTCGGGTGCCAAACATTGTCAAAGAAGACCATTACAGAGGAAGAGGCTTACTTGTATGTGTTGGGATAGCACAAATGGCCACATCCGTCTTTATGTGATTCCATCGTAGCCATCCGATATCGCAATGAAATTCTACACCCTCTTATGCATCCTTTAATCATTGCAGTGTGTATCAGTGCATTATTTATAGACAATAATGTTTACCTGCATAGAGCTTGAGTGGTGGAAAGTTATTTGAAGAGTGAAACTATTTCACATCTGCCATGGCCTGCTTAATCACCGAACTTGACAAGTCCCATCCATGTTCTATTCGAGAACATGAATGGGACTTGTTAGGATGATGGGTAGCAAATCACAGTGTGCCGCCAGCTGCCCTGCACGAGCTTCAACATGCATTGGAATGCATCCTTCAACTACAGGAATGGGTGCTACTGCCACAACAAGCAGTCAGTAACACTATTGCCAGCTTGCCTCAGCATTGTCAAGCATGCATTTTAGCTAGAGGGTTTGTTACCCTTTATTAGCAAGATGTTTCTATTGCACATTCTTCTGAACCATTTGGTCTTTTGCGATGTGATGGTTGTAATACTTGTGTTTTTGCATATCTTTTCTTTATTGTTTGCTATGTGGTCTAGTAATGCCACACCAAACGTTTCAATCAATTTCACGTATGTCTATTAAACAGTTTTTGTTTTATTCCGCGTTTTGCCTTTGTTGCTTATTTTTTGAACAGGAGTGTATATACATTAATCATTAATTTTATTTTTGGTTAATTGAGAAGTACTTTGAAAGTTTTCCTTCCATATTAAGTATTTTCTCAGTATAAAAATCTAATCTAAAAGTCTACTGTAAAATGAAATTAGCCAAAGAACATGAAATTTAGAATATCTAATCAAATATTAATACATTTTATATAATGATCAATATTATTAATAGTTCAGCAACCTAAATCATGTATTATAAAATGAATTTGAGTCGATTTGGAGTTTTTTTCGAACATGAAAATCATGGAGGTAAGAAGTAATGGAGTAACAGTAAACCTCACATTAGGACCAGTTGAAGCCACTTGACTCACACTGCAATGAGCTTACCTTTGTTGTTCATTTTTATGCACCTAGTCAGATTGCTAATTTCAAGTAACTCATTTACATACATTTTTCACTGTTTTAAACATGTTAAGAAAAACACCGCTGTATAATTGAGAAATTTTTTGCACTGTATTAACATGCTTATTAAACTTATGACATTTAAATTTTAGGAGCATTAGCAGTTTTCTATAAGCATGAATAAGATAATAATAAAGGTCTTTAAACAGCAGCGATAGGTGTGATCACATAATTAAGCAATTAGTTCTTCTGCATTACTTAAATATAAATGGAAAGTTTAAGTGTTGGTAGTAAAATTGAAATTGTATGCAGGTTTTACAGTAATAACTTATACTTCAATAATAAAAAATTGCAGTAAATGTTATACTATAATTTTTCTGAAAATTTTCCTGCTAGTAAAGAATTAGAAATAAAAATTGAAGAATTGATTGAAACTGAAGAACAGACTGATATCCGAATAACATATTATAACTTCTAAAATTATTTTTATATTTATTCGAAAAATGACATAATAAAGTATTCCATGAAATGTGAGCAGTATTGATTTACAATGGAAATATGAATTTCATTAGAAATACAAAAAATTAACTCTATAAAGGGAGTTTTTTTCATTCCCTTTGCATTTAAATACTTACCTCATATTATTTCATCCATATTCATCTAAAACCTGATAAGAATTATGAAATATTAAGCAAAAATATGACATAGATTTATGTCTATCAACAAGCAGAACTTTTTAAATTCACATTCTAGAATTTTAAGTGGAAGATTTTTAATTTTAAGTGGAAAACTGTCAAAGTTGTATAATGCAAAATGCTTCCTTTGTTATCTTCTCTATGATGCACATTGAAGTACATACTATAATTCTCAAAATATTATTAAAAATTATTTTGTTATAATTTAAGAAATTAATATAAATAATTATATTCATAGATCTTAATCATATTAGTTACAGTATTTATGCACATTATTCTTAAAACAAAGTTAACTGAAATCTTTTCAAATTCAGTTTCATACAAAAATAAATTAAATAAAAAATTAATTACTTAAATAAGATAAAAAATGAAATAAATTAAAATTTGGTAAAAATATTATCTAAAATGTCATTTTTTTTATCATTTAAAATCAGGCAATATCTATAGTAATTCAAGAATGCTTTTATTAGAAACTTTTTTCTTCAGTATTATTAAAAACTTGAAGAGTAAAGTCACAAATTGCTTTAAACAGAACTAATTTATTAAATATATGGTTTTTTGGGGGGATAGGGGAATGAAACTTTTCCAGTAGCTCTTTGTACCAACTTATACTTCCAGTCCTTAGATAATGTTTACTTGTTGCACAAATTAATTGCAGAATATGGTTTTCAGGCAGATCTTGCCCTAGTATATAGCAGGATAAAAAAAAGCAAAGATATTATTGTGTGCATATATGTTTATAATGGATTGAATGCAGACAGATACAGTGATAACTTACTAAAATTTATTTTTCACAAAAGAAACACTTTACATTCTAGAACCTTCCTCAAAAGCTCTCGTACAGCTCTTCTCAGTGTCACAGAGCACAATTGGTAGTTACACTTCAAACTACTAAGAATGTTAAACACAATGCAATGCAAAGCACATTAAGAGGTGAAGCTGTCTCAGAAATCTCAATACTCCAAATTCAGCTGTGAACTTACAACTGAGAACTGATGCTGTCTTTGGTCTTGTATAGTTTTTCCCTGGCCAATGAGAAATTTTCCTTTCACTTCTCAAAATTATTGGAAGCCATGTATGGTTAATGTCACATATAAGGTCTGGATACAGTTACAGTTATATATAAGGATCAATTACAGTTATACAGGGCTAGTCCAAAATGTTGCCAAATAGTTGCCAAATTTAGCAACAAAAATTATTCCCCAAAACCATTGTCGGCTTAGCGAAATCTCGCCATTTACCTCAATGTTAAGTAGACTTGCCCTGTAATCTTATTTTCCCAGCAGAGCATTGTCTCTGCTACAATTTTGTATATAATTTCAGTAAAATTTTTTACATGTATAAAAAAACTTGTAACAATATTTCTTCCAGTATTCCTTCTTTACAATTCTGAGGGATGCTAACAATTATAGTGAGTTAGTTGGTTATTTAATGCCATTTTTGATTGCTTAATGCTATGCATTTTCAAAAAGTTTTATCCATTTACTTTGCATGCACATAAAACATCATTTGATGGTAAAGCTAAGCCTCCATTGTTCTTTCGCATGATTAATGAGTGAATTTTACTGTCTCCATTGATATGAAGAGCTAAAACACATTTTTCACAATTAAGTTAAGTTCTAATTTTCTAATGGTAAAACCAGTAAAGTATGCTATTATGGCTTCTGTAATTCGCTCAAACTTTGGGTTAGGTCATATCTAGCACATTCAGCTTATGAATTGTCACCAATACTTTAAAATACAGTTTCTCAGGTATAATTCACTGCACAGTCCTCTAGTTTGCTGCACATTAGTTATACTTTCTTAAGATATATTCTGGTTATTAAACCATAGATTTTTAGTGCTAGTATGCCAACTATATTTTTATCCTTCAGCTTCACCATATTCCTACGCAAATTTTGGATCCCACATAATCTGACAAGCGCCAATAACAACTAATAAGAAAAAACCACAGGTTTAATAAATGGAGACCTTTTACTAGTAGGTCTCACCAGTTGTTGAGTGGTTAAAGACACCAATTACTGGAAATTTGTCTCAGACAAACAGGCTGGCTGCATGATTAGTTTTTGTGATTTTCCCCATGTATGAAGCCATTTCCCTTAGTCTTACTCGAAGCTTGCCTTCTGTAACGCAAATAGCTCTTGCATGCTTTGTCAACCTGTGACCTTTTACTAGTATGTAAAAAATAATTTCAACACTTTTTCTTTATTTTTAGGCATTCATCCAACATCGCATTCACCTGGATTATTTAGCTGGTTTCCGATATTTTTTCCTTTAAAGGTAGAGTCCATTTTTTTCATTCTTTTCATTATATAATTTTCCCAATTCATATTGCTGTCAGTTGCTCGTTATGAAAATGCATTCATTAATTATTTGTATTTTGAGTATTGTATGTTTATTAGTTATTTGTATAAGTTGTGAAATGCATGGTACTAAAAGTCCAAAATAAACAACATTATTAATTGGAAAGGGGAAAACTGTCAATGATTACTTCTACGTGGAAAAATGACTCTGAACAAATACATGAAAAAAGTTGTGCCTCTAATGTTAAATCATTGGTAAAAAGAGAAAATCTGCAGAAATCATTTGCAAAATCCTTAAATAATCTGTAGCAAGATTTACAACTCAAAAAAGCATAATATCACCAGCTTTTGACAAGGCATATGGCTCAACACAGACAAGTTTGTAGAATCCTTTATGAAAATTATTTAGTACAAAATAAATGGAAGTATGCTGTAAATCTAGATGAATTATCGGTTTACCTTAATGACTGTAACAAAAATAAGTTTATTTATTATCAAAAACAAACAGAAAAAAATATACAGACCTGGTTCCATCAATGCAAAGAAGTTATCAGTAAGGGGTTTAAGATTTTCACAGTATTCTCTTATAGTGAGAAATTTTAAATAAGAAGAATGGGAAAAGTGTTAAAATTAACTCGGCGTATGTCCAATATTTACAGAAGAAAATCCGATTTCTTTATCTCAGTGACTTTCAAAGAGTGAAACTTCATCAAGACAAAGCAACAAGGTCATACTTCAAAAAGTACCACTGCTTTCCTTGAAAAATGAAGACTGACATATATATATATATATATATATATATGTATATACCTTTTCAACATATTCCTGCAAAGTTTGTTGTTTGTCTTTTGAAAAAAGCTCTTAATGCCCAGATTGGACTCTTGAAAACAGTGGAAGAGAAATAAAAGTTTAACGAAAAGCCATTCTAATGCAGGGAGGGAGGAAAAAAAAGCTATGAGATGGAACATTAAAACAGGGTTCGTACGGTCTTTAAAAGTCCTTAATTTTTTCAAAAATGATTTTTGGTCCTTAAAAGTCCTTAATTTTGGCCAAAATGAATAAACGGTCCTTAATTTTGCTCATTTGACATTTCTTATCATTTCTAATGATTGCCATTCTAAGTGTGAATTACGATTTCTCATGAATATGGAATTAAAATTACACAGCTCTTAACCAATCTGTTGGCGGATTTGCGTTGCAAACGATAAAAAAAAAAAAAAAAAAAAAAAAAAAAAAAAAAAACAATTAGCTACCCGAACGAAAGTATCGGTGTCTGATTGGCTATTCACGCAATCTTTCGAAACAGGTGTTATCCATAAATTTAGGCAGATTGTGACGAAAGCGTGAAGCCGGAAGTTCTTTAAGAGGCGAAAGTGATGATGAAGGTGCTCGAGAAAAAAAAAGGGGGGGGGATTCTGAAAATATTTGCCAAAATTAGAGCAATCCCAACCTGGAAGGCCACAACCCTTCCGACGCCAATAGGAACGAGATGCCTGGAAAGTGCATTTTCAATAAACTGTGGCTTCATCAAGCTGACTACAAAGACTGGATATTGATGGATGGCAATCCTTAAATGTGGTCTTTGTCTGAAACAAATTGAAATTTCTAGAATGGGAGAGTCAGCGCTGAAAATTCACATGAAAATTAAGTTTCGTTTTATCATTTCAATTTGTTTTTACACGGTTTTGCTTAGCTTAATTTCTGTGTTTGTTTCTATTAAGCCATAAATTAATTTTTTCAATTAAGCCATAAATTAATTTTTTATCACCTTCTACGGAGTTTATTCTCTTTTGCACATACTATATGTATGGGATATCGGGATTATGAGTTTATTTCTGCAGAGGGTCTGTTATCGATTTCGCGGGAAATCTGTTGGCTCCATTTCGATTTTAGGTCGCCAAGGGCAAGGGCAAATTCGGTAACGCTAGCCGAGAAAAAGTGAAGTTCGGAAATACGTTTTGAAGCTTCAATAGACAATTAAGTATTTGGTTTAAACCTATGTTTTTGATAGTAATGCATAATTTTTGCTAATGGCGATACAATTATTAGTTGAAAATAACTAATTAAAATTTTTTAAATATTTTTAAAGCTGAAAACAACTAATTGAAACTAAATTTCCTGAATTAACTAGACGCAAAATTAACTTTCATGAATTACTAAAGTTATTGGGTAGAAGTTTAACTGAAAATATATATATATATATATATATATATATATATATATATATATATATATATATATATATATATTTATACAGTACAAAGTCCGAGGTCTGGACTCGTCGGGACTTCGGCGATCCTAGATTTGAGATTTTTCCGGATATTAGATCATTTTAAATCTACTAAGATGGCACGTAGAAATTATAAAATTGAAAATATGAAATCGTGATTTATGAAATAATGAAGCATTTATGATTTAAAGGGTATCAAAATTTACCAAAGAAAAGAGCTTAATATTTATATGTTTACTTTAATAAACATTTCTTTCAATGTGAGTTGTTTGATTTGTTTTTCTCTGCTGCTAACTTTACTTTAGACTAATACTATAGACATATAATTTCTTGTTCAGTTATTAAGTTCCATTGTTCAAGTCCTGTAATTGCTGTGTCGAGAATTCCGAATCCGAATAACTTGTCAATCAAAATTTTTTCTCGTTCAGTAACCTCTCTGTTACTTTCTTCACTATCGGTAGCTGTATTTTCTGGATTTAGAACCATACTACAGATTCCGCCCTCCGTTAATTGATTGATGATTGGGCATTGTCATTGCAATGAAAAACTTCTGTTTAACTTCGCTAAATTCTGCCGCCTGGTGCGGCCATGCGAGCTCTGGAGCTGGTTCTGGCTTTATGTGAATAACAAATCAGTTATTCTTAATTCAAATAGCACTAAATATAATCGTTTGTCCTATGAGTATCATTAACAAAATCTATTTTTAGCATAAGGAAAGAAATTTCTGCTAAATCTCCCCTTGTCAACATTTTAGCGCATTAAATTTAAATCTGTAATCGTATAATACTCTGTTATTTGGCATCGCTGCATGATTCATCACTCAAGTTGTCATTCGTTGATAAACATGCGGTGATGAAAGCAAAATACAATAAATAATGATTCGCGATTTCGGCATCAAGGATATAAAATATTAGTTGGTGTAAAATTAACAAATGTTTCGGTTTGAGATTATGCCAAGCAGATACGCAGCTATGGAGTCAAGTTACTAATCACACAAATTTATGCTAAAATAATTATTTCTTCAATAATGAGATATTTTATTTAGCACCAAACTAAGATTAAGAATCGGGATTTCCGGCATTTTTTTTATGATGAGGGAAAAAAATCTAATGCGCGTGTAAAGCATACCCCTTCCCTTCAAAAAAGCCCAAAATTGGTTGGTGGGCTTTGAGGTCCAGATTTTAGATCATTCCAGATATTAGATGTCCGGATCTCGGACTTTATACTATATATATATACATCTTTCAAAATATAACTTACCAGTATGGATTCACTCTTTTAAAATAATTCTACTTTAATTAAACTTAGGAGATAATATAATCAATTAATCTATATTGTTTAGGAAATAAATATAATATATATATATATATATAGTAAAAAATGTATATTTTCACTATTCAAGTATTCACTGTGACAAGTATTCTTATCTTGTCACATGAACAGGCCTCTGTGGAAAGGGGCTTCTCTGTAAATAAAGCAATTGAAATTGAAAATTTAAGTGACTCATCATACATTTTTCAACGCACAGTATTTGATTACATAAAATTTTCTGGAGGTGTTCTTAATATCGAAATTAATAAAGAAATGAGATCAGCAGCAGCTTCTGCAAGAAGTGGAGTTCGTTATTTAGAAGTTCAGTATTTAGAAGAACAAAAATCTTTAACTAAATCTGAAAATTCAAAGAGGAAAGAGAATATTATTGAAGAAGAAATTGATTATATGAAGCAGAAGAAAAACTTTCCTTCAAAGGGACATTAAAGACATTAATGAAGAAGTAGATGCTTTAGCAGATAAAGCTGAGACCAGCAGGAACATTGATTTGTTTATCAAAGCAAATGAACTTAGAAGAATAGTTAAAGAAAAGGAAATAGACAAAATAAATTAGATGTTAAAATAGCTGAAAGATTTCAGAGTTAAAAAAAGCACAAATGTTTTGTATCTTTTATTGTACAGTTTATTATTCTAGTATCTTTAAAAAAACCAAGGAAATAAATTGTATGTTTACAAATCAGTTATTTTAATCTGCAAAATATTCTTACATTGTGATTATAATAGTAGTTGACTATGTTTAAATAAATATCAAATAAGTTAAATAATAATCATGTAAATCTCTAAAATAGTGACTGTTATTAGTGTAAAATACACTTATACATGTTTTTCAAGAAATTATGTTCCTCATTTAATGTTATCTACTTCATAACTTGTAGGGAGTTAGTTTAATTTTCCAAATTGTTTTATGGTAAGTATTAAATTGAATTTAATAGTAGTGCATAATACACACTTCTGTTAGTTTCTTAAAGTGAAATTACAAGCATGAAGTCGGTTGTATGGATAATTGTTTTATTCTATTCATTTTTTTGTTTGCTGATAGGTCCTTAATTTTTTCTTTGATGGTCCTTAAAAGTCCTTAATTTTCATGTAAGGAAATGTGTATGAACCCTGTAAAAAAAAAAAAAACTTTATATTTTATAAAGTTTATAAAAAACTTTATATTAAATAAACAGCCTGAAACCATTCTAAAAATGTGTAAATACCATCATCTGTACATGCTAATTTCGTTTGCTTATTCCTTTTTTTTTTTTTTTTTTGTTATGGTGTTTCCTTCCCTGTCTCTTGTTTCAAAATATTCAAATTCTGTTATTTATTTTCATGAAAGTGTTAAGTATAACTATGTTTTTAATGTTTCATTTTATTTTTCTTTTCAGGATCCTATCTATGTGCGTTCATGTGATGAATTAGATGTTCATTTTTGGAGGTGCGTTTCCCCACGAAACGTATGGTATGAGTGGATGGTTACAAAGCCAGTCATTAGTGCAATCCACAATCCAGGTGGTAGATCTTATACTATAGGACTGTAATCAATTAGCACAATTTATCACCATCTAGCTTTTATAGACTAACAACATTCATCATTGTCAATTTTTCATTTTTAGTTAGCCTTTAATAAAAGTCTTTTAATTTTATAGGCTGCATTTTCATAAATTTGTCCATTCAATTTAAAAAAAAGTAAATGGAAATTTTTACTCACTGAATTAGTAAGCAGCATAGATTTTTGTTTAGTTAATTAGTATTAGACTTTTGTGTAAAATATCTTTTCCTGAAAGAAATGATTGGCTGCACAAAATGTTAATTTGTACAATATTATGCATAAATAATTGTTTTATTCATTCTTGTTTTTACAAATTAAATGAAATAAAAAAGTTTAAACACAAATTTAATTGATAAAATTATATTTATACATTATTTTTCTTAAAAAGCAGAACATCTAGAAAGAATGTAGTTACAGTATACGTAGCATATTCGGAAACTAAGTATCGTTTCATTCTAGCGCCGTTGCAGTGCTGTGGTAGGCGTCCCGCGCATGCGCACTAGTCTTTCTTGTTCATTGACTTTCAATTGCCGCCATTCTGGTTGCTCTATGTTGTGTTTTCAGTTTGCTGTGCACATTCAAAATGTTTAAGACAATTAGTTCTCCCGCTGACTGTGAGGTTCGTGCCGTGATTAAATTTTTGAACCGAGGAATGTTAAACCGGCCAAAATTTATCATCAAGTGACAGAAGTTTACAGTGAATACGCGATAAGTGATGGAATGGTGAGAAAGTGGGTAAGAATGTTTAATGCAGGTCGAACAAATGTCCACGCCGAGGCTCGGAGTGGTTGGCCTTCTGTTGTCACCGATGATTTGGTAAGGAAAGTTGATGAAGCAATTCATGAGAACAGACGCTTCACAATGACAACTCTTTCAGAGGCATTTCCACAAATTTCACGTACTGTTTTATTCGAAATTGTGTCTGACCGCTTGAATTATCGCAAACTGTGTTCCCGATGGGTTCCAAAAATGCTCACTGATGTTCACAAAACAAAGTGACTTGGTAGTGCCCTGACATTTCTCACGCGGTACAGTGATGAGGGAGAAAACTTTTAAACCAAATTGTGACAGGTGATGAAACTTGGGTGTGTCATTTCACACCAGAATCGAAACAACAATCGATGGAGTTGAGACACACTCATTCTCTGAAAAAACAAAAGTTCAAAGTGACAATGGCATCACAAAAAATCATGTGCACTGTCTTCTGGGATAGGAAAGGCATTTTGCTTACTGAATTTCTTCCCAGAGGTGAAACCATTAATGCGGCACGATATTGTGAGACTTTAACAAAACTAAGGCGTGCCATTCAAAACAAACAAAGAGGAATGCTCAGTAAAGGAATTGTGTTGCTCCATGACAATGCTCGGCTCCATACTGCTGGTGTCACTCAATCGGTAATTCGACAGTTTCATTGGGAGCAGTTCGATCACCCGCCGTACAGCCCGGACTTGGCGCCATCCGACTATCACTTGTTCCTGCACGTGAAGCGCGAGCTTGGTGGTAAGGGCTTTGGATCTGACGATGACACGAAAAATGCTGTGGAGTCGTGGTTATCAAAACTGGCGGGAAAGTTCTTTGACGATGGTATACAAAAACTGATCACCCGCTATGACAAGTGTTTGATCACTGGTGGAAACTATGTTGAAAAATAGTTTAAGACATGTATTTTCATGTAAAAATAAAATTGGATTCGAAAAAACTGTTTTACTATTTTTTTTTCAAAACGGTACTTAGTTTCCGAATACGCCTCATATATTTATTAAAGATACGTAGCAGTCCATATAGAAAAAATGATGCATATTTACTTCATTGAGCCATAATTTTTGGAGTTATATAAATAACTACAAATAGTTAAGCCGGCTGGTAAATAACTACAAAAATATTGTATTCATCAATTATTTGGCCTCAGTACCTTAAAAGGGTTCCCTCTAGAACTGTTGAACATCTGTCAGCATTTCTGGTATAATTCAGGGAACAGGATCTACGCCATCTTCCCATCAGGAACTTTCCAGCTATGTAAAAATGTACGAGACTTAGCAGTAGAATATAGAGGATTCACATGCTGCTTAATTTTCATATACATAATGTATCATCATCAAGAGCAAAATACTGCTGCTATATTAATGCATGCGGTCATAGTGCCTGGCAGATCTTACTGAAACACTTTTAAGATAACACGAACAGTTGCAGTACTTGCTGCAAAATTGATTTCTAAATTCTGATTTTACTTCCATTTACAGCTTCTATTTTGAATTACATATGATATTGGATTATTTTATCTCTCATTTTAATAATTATCTCAATTTTCCCTTCCTCCCTATTTTCAAGCAGCTCTAGCGGCGGTCAGTACTTGGGAGTGTGACTAGTGATGAGTCGGTATTACCGAACTGGGTATTTTGTAACGGGTACTGAAAATCGGTACATCCAAGTACCCGTTACTTCAGTACCGAAATCGGTACTTTTCGATATTCGTTACTTCTGTACCAAAACGGGTACTTTTCGGTATTTGCTACTTTGTAACGAAAATATGCGTCTCTTCTCAGTATTCGTTACTGGAGGATCGATGACGGTTCAGCTTACTTCAGTTTTGGTACGAAGACAGTAGTATCTGGTTGTATTTGCAAAATGGTGGTATGTGCTCCTTGTGTCCATGAATGACCTTGAAATAGGGCATGGAATGGCAAACGTGAAAGGGGGGAAATTCTGTTCCGTTCGTTATGGAGACTAGAGTTTGAGGTAGTATAATTAATTGCCTTTGTGTGCGCGGGAGGACAAGTGTGAAATAGTGGAAATTTTTCGAAAGACCGTTCGTTGTGTCTGTGTGTGTGTGTGTGGGGGGGGAATAGTAGCAGATGGAGTCTCTGTCGCCGGCATTGCTCACTTGTGATTGGAGTCGGTATAATCAGTAGGGAAGCGTTAGATGATTTGCAATCCGAATTGTGCATGTTTTAATTTTTCATCGTTTGTAGGAGAAAAACTGCGTGGATCTGAAATGATTGATTTGGTAAGTTGCCGTTGTTGGATTGGTGAATGGAATCAACTACCAACTAGATTACTTCCTTTTCCTCAACATATTTTTAGCATAAATCATGAAAAATATTTTTCGTTGCTTGCTTAATAGGGCAACTTAAATCATATGATCCTTTTTTATCCTGCTGTACCTACTTCAGAAAATGTCACAGCATCTAGTGGATCACTAAGCCAATCAACATAAAATACAGACACAATTTTAAACTTTTCTAATGAAAGAACAAAGATAACTGACCCACTTATGATAATTCTTCCCCCTTCTAAAAACAGATTTTCATCTCGCCAAAAACTAAACCCAGGTCATGTGCCTAACGCAGGATTGTCAACCCCCCAGGACGTGATCAGCTCCTCCGATAGGAAGAGAGGTGAACTTTGACCTGGCAGTCCGAATCTTCTTTTTTTTTTTTTACTCCCTCTGAAGCTTATTTGAGGGGGGAAAACTATTGAATGGAACACCGGAAATTATCCGGACATGTTTATGTAAACATACATGTCCCTCCCTTTTTTTCCTTTGCATTTTTTGCTCTTTCATGCCTGATTAATAGAATCATTAGGCGATATTGCACTTAGTTCCTTCAGTGCGCAAAATTGTTAGCTGCGTATTTCGGTACTCCAAATCGCTACTAGAGCACTTCGGTACTCCAAATCATTACTAAGGTACTTCAGTACTCCAAATCGTTACTAGGGTACTTCGGTATTCCAAATCGTTACTAGGGTACTCCGGTACAGCAAACCATTACTCCGGTATTTCGTTACTTCTGTACTCCAAATCGTTACTTGGGTACTCGGTACTTGAAATCGGTTTTCAGTACTTTTCAAAGTAATGGGTATTTTGTACCGGGTACTTTTCTGTACGGGTACAAGAAAGTACCGAAGTTGCCCATCACTAAGTGTGACCACCTTTGACACTGATGCCAGCCAATCATTAAATCATACACTTCCTCTCCCAAATTCATCGGCTTCTACCTTGGTGATTTCATGAATTAAATTCCAACTATTATACTTACATCACATAGTGTTTTCCATCACACAATATTTCTCAGGTCAGGCCCTGAAATTTTACTATACACAATCATTTCACACAGCAGTAACCACATTCGAGGTTTCCCCTAATCGGAATATCCGAGGTGCCTGTATAATAGCTAAAGTTCCTGCTGACACAGGCTTACCCAATAGCATCAAAGTATCTATTTTGACACATTTTAGACAAAGGTTGTAAATGAGCCTTCATTCTTTTTAGAGGTGGGTGCATGGCTGGATAAGAATTTTAGTTCCTTGCTCGCAGATGTCAGTACATATTGTAAAGTAATTGTATAATGATATCACAAATTCTGATAGAGGATGCATTACTGGCATGAGAATCTTTCCATGATGCTGCCAGGCAAGTGAGGTGAAATATTTTTTTGCCTAAAAGGGTATGCAAAAACTTGTTCCAAACAAGTCATTGGAGATAAAGAAAAAATTATCAACAATTAAAAATTATCAGTTCAACAGTATAGCAAATGTATTTTTCAATCCCCCCTCCCAAAAATAGACTGACTCATTTCTTTGGTAATATATGTAGATATCCTGTGTGGGGTTTTCTTAGGGGTGTTTTTTTTTTTTTTAAATCTAGACTTGTAAAATACAATCACAATTTAATTCTTAGGTATTTAAACTTTTAATAGAATAATATATTCCAAAACTTTCATTTAGGAATTCATTGGCCAATTTCCAAGTGACATTTTAGACAACACAGCATACTTTGTTTTGGAGCTGTCTCTTTATAGAGTTAGAAAGAAATGACTGTTTTAAGCATTCTCATCTTAAATATTCATTTTAGGTAGGTGCTTTTTTATTGCAGAGTTTTTCCAAACAAAGTATACAAGGTGTATAGGAAAGTCCCTTTAACCTGAAAATTCTTGTGCATGGAGACAGCTAAAGGTATGAAAGTGAGGAAACGGTATACATTGTTCCCTCACCACTTCGCACTTCATGTTTTGCAGCTTCAGTGCTTTGCAGGTTTTTCCAAAAAATTTCAAAAGTAAAAATGAAAAATGCAATTATGTCAGCAGCCACATTGCG